CCCATCTTTGCCACAGGCAGAAACCTGCCAAAATTGCAGCCAACCCTGAGGGGAGCTGACTTTTGATGCAGGGAAAGATGAAATCATGGCACCATGGATTAAGTACCCAGATCTGCCTCCAGAATTGTCTGTTATTTCACTTCCCTTTTCTTGAGTTGGTGTGAGTCGGACTCTGGCAGCTCTAATCTAAAGAATGTGGATTAAAGCACAGGACGTTACTGGGCTTTTCCTGTGATTCCCCCTCCTCTCTATGTCCCATTCTCTATGCACACGTGAAAGTTGTGGCTGAAAGGACTTGTCATCCATTAACTCATCACATGTTCATGGAGCACATTCTATGGCAGTTACCATGTAGAGTCCTTGGACATAAAGATGAGTAGGAAAAAAATCTGCACCAGATAGACAAATGTAAACAGGCCTGAGCAATGTGAGAAGGGTACAGGCCCAGCACGGTAGGTAAGAGTATGGGCTTTATTGTCAGATGGCTTGGGCCTACCGCAACACTATTGATTTCACACATTTCCTCACTTCTCTCTCCCTCTCTTTCTCCAACTTTAAAATGGGTAGAATAATCACTGTGAGGACTTTTCTGTCCATTTGGGCGGCTGTAACAAAATACTAAAAACTGTGCAGATACGAACAACGGAAATTTCTTTCTTTCAATTACGGAGGCTTCGAAGTCCAAGATCAAACTGCTGGCAGATTCAGGGTCTGAAGGAGGATCCACACCCTGGTGTACAAATGGTGGTCTTCTTATCACTCTATTCTCCTGTGTTGGCAGGGACAGGGCAGTGTTCTGGGGCCTCTCCTATAAGGTCACTAATCCCATTCATGAAGGCAGAACCCTCTTGATCTAATCATCCCCCCAAATCCCATTTCTTGTTACTGTCACACTAGTGATTAAATTCCAACACATGGATTTGGAGGAGACAGAAATGTGCAGACCATACAAGGTCCAAGTGAGGTAATGCATATAACAGGTGCTTGGTAAGGCATGTAACAGGTGCTACTGTGACTGGATGCCACTTCTCAGATGGTAGAGGAGACACAGGAGATTACCTGTTGGTCCCCTCCTGCATAGGGAAGGGGATGGATAGAGGAAAGGAAGTAATTTTTGAACTGGGCCTTGAAAGATAAGCTAGCTAAGCAGATAAGAACAGCAGTGGCCTATGAGCAAAGGAAACATGGTGTGTAAAGGTTCTGAGGTATGCCCTGGCCAGCCACCTTTGAACTGCAGTCATCTGCATTTTCTTGGACTATATATTATATGTGGGTGACATCTGCTTACCATGAAAGTAAGCAGAGGCTAGATCCCCAAAGGCCCAATGTGCCATGCTAAAGGGCACTATTATTATTGGTAGGTAGGATTACATCTTTTGTAAATGACCAAATATACAGAAGATGTAAGTTAAAATGGCATTTATGAAAAAGTACAAAGAAAAATACCACCATAGGCTTATCTAGTTCAAGGTTGAAACGATAACTCCAAGACTCACTTTTTCCCTTTTTATCTCTATCTTCATTTGTGGATGAATTCATTCTCAAGTGGGATTAGCTTTGTGATGGAAGATGCCAGTTGGAGGTTCAGAAGCTGAAGTCCAATGGGAAAAAGTCCAAAGAAGTTCCAGCAAAGTCTCACTGGCTTTAATTGAGTCACCTGGACCAATTATTTTGGTGAGGGAATACTACTCTTCGATTGATCAGGCCAAGAAGCTCATAGACTAAGCATATGAAGGAGGATATTCCTTCAGAAGGAAGTTAGGTATAGATAGCAGGAAAAGAATATGGAATGTGTGTCTGCTAGAAACACCCGGAAGTGTAAGACATGTTTTATATTTAGAGTTTGGGAGGACCATTGCTGGTTTTTATGCTGTGGAGTGATGTGACTGTATTTCCATTTTAGAAGAATATATTAAACTAAGCGTGGGGGATGAGTTGGAGGGTTGTGGCTGGAGGTAAGGGGTTGGTTGCAAAGGTTTCTACTAACCAAGGGAAGTGATGATGAATATACGGATGAGACCTTGGCATCCAGAACGAAAGTTTCAGTGACTCAGAGACATACATTTAGGGTCTAGAACTGTAATAATTTTGTGCTGAACAAAATTCAGTGGGGAGGGAAAAGAATGCATTTAGGCTTGTGGCTTTGGGTAGTGATGCCATTTATGCAAAGTGGAGCTACAGAAGGAGAGAGGGGACGTTATAGGACAAAAAATAGCTAATATTTAAAATTTATTTATGTTCATCATCTTTTTCCCAGAGTGTTACAGAAAAGGCATATTCAGAGTTCATGACATCTATTTTTCACCATAAACAACATTATTCACAGCAATGAATGACCTGGGTACATCCTTATGCAGAATATGATCTAGGAACCTGGTGCCCAGGTACCTGCATGTTTTTGACCCACACTGTGGTCTTAGCCTAGCCCCTCTGCCTTTTCATTTGTTTTGCTCTTTTCTTTTATCCTGAATGTTTTCTGTCCATATTTTACTTTTCTAAGTTGCTGTAAGTCTTTCTAGAACAAGATGGTATGTATTCAATTCATAATGCCTTATTAATATTCATTACAAGTTAGCCCTTACAAAGAATGATTGGAAAGAGACTTACATTTTTCTTAAAAAAAATAATGCTTCCATTTTCCTTGCACAAATATCCATAAATGTGGAAAAATTGTACCTGCTTGTTTTTTTAAGAAACAAAAGACACTGGCATTTATTTGCTGAAGATTTTATTCTTTTGATACCAAAACTGGCTTTCCTTTCCCATGTCAGCTCTCTGATCCCCATCACCACCCCACCAGATATCTCAACATAAAGTTTATCTCAGGGCCTAAGACGAATAAGAGAAACTTTGTTTAAAATGCTACTCAAAATAGGCTTTGAAATGAAAGGCATTTACAAGATAAGTAAACAATGTCCAAAAATAAATGCATTTATAGATCATGCTCAGAAAAAAATTTACACAACAATCTCGCGGGTCATGACTGTCTGCATGACATCTCCATTTCCACTTTCTCCAGAAAATTCTGTTGTCCTGAAATGGCCTAAATTTTCTATTTCTAAGATTAGATAGCTTCTGTGGTTTGTGCTCTATATCCGGGAATTCTGGCTTTAGCTGTAATGCGTAGGCAGATGATTATCTCACACCACTTTGGCTCTCTCTTCTTGGTCTAATCCTCATTGCTCTTGGACAACTGGGCCCATTGCCTGACTCAGGAGAGCAGCAAGGGGACAGAGTATGGAGGCAAGCGAGTTCTGAAAAACAGGAGAGTCAAGCCCAGATACAACCCATCGGTCATTACAAGTTTCACCTCTGATAATGGCAGCTCTCAGTTCTGGAGCATGCAGACCTTCACCCTCTCCTGAAGTCCCCACCCCTCAGGCTGGCCTTTGGGGCTCTTACAAATATGGTCCATCAATCTCTGTCCTGGGTCTGTGCTCCCACTTGCTGCTGTGTCTGCATTGCTATTCCTGCCTGCGTGTCCTTCCTCTCACTTGGGTCCCTCCAAGTCCTATCATCACCTAAGGCCCAGTGGRCAGAGATTCCCTTGGTCTTCTCTATCACCTCGCAATTTGGAAGCAAACATTCGGTCCTCTTTTACGGCAATTTGTCTCTACCCTGAGCCCGACACTTAGCATATTTTGGTTTGTTCTTTTCCAGAATTGTAGGTGAGTTTATGTATACATTGCTGTATCCTTAGAAATTTGATGGCAGGGCTGTGCCATTTTCATCTTGGTGTTCCTCTGTCTTCACAAAGGARGGGACATGATTCACACACTTGTAGGCATTAAAAAACTTATTAAATGAACAAGCACAGAGGGGAATAAATAGAAGGAGCACTAGAAGATACTGAAAGAAAAGCCTAAGGGAATGTGATTACTATAAACCAAGGGAGTGGGAGATGAGACAGAGCCACAGACTAACTGACAGATTGCAGTGCAGAGGGCAATAAGAAGTGGGACTGGGGGCTTGGAGGAGACAGCTCTTTATCTGTTTGATCTCTCTCCTGCCTCCTCCTGATCTCTCTCCTGCCTCCTCCTGTTCATTCTCTGATTGGCTCACTTGTGGATCAGCTAGCACTCATGGATCAGTGGACACATGCTTTGCCTCCTTGGAATTCAGGATTTAGGAAATCCACAAGAAATCACGTGCTAGAGTGATATAAAGCAGTGGCCTTATTTGCTATTAGGTKAGAAGTTTGATTTAGAAGACCATCAGGTTGAGAGGTTTGGGAGAATGACCTACTGGCTGTTTCTCTCCATTTCYGTCTTCATTTCCATTACCCCTCCCAGGCCTCTATTCTCACTCCTTCCCAGTTGAAAAATACCATGTTTTGAGGGAACAGGGAGTAAGTGGTGCTGACTTCCTCATTTTCTCTGCATCCATTTCACCCACTTAAATACACCTTGGCATGCCTACTCTCTTCCCACATGTAAAATCTCCTCTGGTCCTCAATCCCAAGAAAAGCAGTCTTGTGTAGCTCTAGCATTGAACCCATCTATTTTCCATGGTGCCCACAACAGAGTTGTGACAGTGTGCTCCCTGCACTCTATCTGGCCTCTATGAAGGTCAGGCTTTTGTCTAAACTCTGTATTCCACCTGACTTGGCGCCATGGTGTCTGGTCCACACACAGGGGCTCACCAAGGAGCTGTTGCATGAATGTACASCAGCATAAAGAACTAAATAATAAAACAAAATAAATTTATCACTTTAGTTTGCTTGAAAATGCTCAGCATCTCTTACCTTTGTTGTATGACCTAKTATAGCTTTTGAGAACTCTCAAACCCTGTCTGGGATGTTATGTTTCTCTTAAATAACAGACAAAACTGTAATTTTATGAATATTTAATGGGACAATATCATCGCCAGCTGACTTTATCACAATGGGCATTTAATAAAAGTTTTGTCAATATTGTCTTTAATTTGTTTAAATATTTATGAACATTACTTTTTTTTTTTTTTTTTGGTGATGCTGGGGACTGAACCCAGGGCCTTGTGCATGCAAGGCAAGCACTCTACCAACTGAGCTGTATCTCCAGCCCCATGGACATGACTTTCAGGAGAATCCATATCTGGAGTTATTGTGGACAGCTCGTGTTGGTGTGGTTTTAGCTGYGTGGTGGTTTAATCTTGTTTTGATAAATTCCTCCAGAACTGTCTGCAGATGCTCTGGAATCCGCGTAGGAGTTCTTTGGAACTCTTTCCTGCTCCTTCCACCTTCCAGTAACCCAGATGAGATTGAAGCATCAGCCGTGGTGACCTGGAAACTTTCAGGTCTGCAGTCGGGGGGGTCACAGTTCGTCATCTTCTGATATGGAATCCAGGTAATCCGTGTCCACGTAGAGGAGAAATCCAGAGAATAGGCTGTCTGCCCAGCCTGGGTCTGAGAAGAGGCCATTCTGGTCTGTGAAGAAGATCTCCAGCCAGACTTCATCTTCTGGCTGCAGGTAGATGACGGTGGACCCTGAGGCCACGTCATGGTTCCCTGTGTTGGCATCGAAGGTCTTTATCCGGTATTGCCCATTGTGCACCAGCCCGATGGCCAGGTGCTTATTGGCCAAAGTGATATCATAAGAAAAGTAGTAGATTCCTGGGAAAGCACAGATGAACTTTCCTGTCGCAGGGTTGTAGTGCTCACCCTCATTGAAGAGCACCTTGTTAAATATAATAGGTATTCTTTCTTCAGGGTAGCTGGTGGTGATGCCAACGGAAAAGGCGGATTTGAGCACGAGGCTGCCACATCGGCACACTCCAGGCAGCCCTGGGTCCCCTTGGTCTCCTCGGTCTCCCTTTGGTCCAGGAGGCCCAGCTGGACCTACTTCTCCTTTCTCTCCCTCTGGTCCCATGGGTCCTTTCTTCCCAGTCTCTCCTTGGTCCCCTTTTTCGCCAGCCAGACCCAGGGGTCCCGTCTTACCTCTCAGACCTTCAAAGAGAGTTTACAGTTGGATTAATAGTTCCTCTAAAGAGTCATGAACAGCATTATCTACATGGTCCCAGCACACCAACTTTGTCTTTTCAGTCAACCTTTTTAGTTAGTTAGTATTACTAACTAAAAAAAGCCTCTAAAAAACCACTGATACACTGAAAATGAAAACAGAGAATTTCCATCAGAATTTCAAGTCTGTTTTCCTGAGTATGTTACACATCATTTAAGACCTCTCTAATTTTAAAATAATTAACTACTATTTTGATGATGATGGATCACCTGTCATTCAATTATTCCAACCCAGGTACTGGTCACTGTCTGAAGAATTCAGTGAGCACAATGATATTATTCTCCAGAGTAGACTCATAGGGACAAATAATTCTTATAAACTATCTAGTCTCATGCCCCATTCTATTTCAGTTAGTTTTTTAACAAAATAATGAAAGTTAAATTTGCTTATGTTTATGAACCATTTATTACGTGCCAAGAATAGTATTAAGAGTTTTCTTTGCATGTATTATCTCATTTAAATATCACACAACTCTATGAACTAAGAATAATTAATACTTCAATTTCAGATGAGAAAGCTGAGCCATGGAAAAGTTATTTTGCTCAAGAGATAGAGCTAATGAGTGATAGAGCTGTGATCAGAATGGCATGCATCCTGATCATCCCCCAGGGGCAGTGGCTAGAGTATGAACTGGTATGTAGTGTTAATATGCTACAATAACCAGAAAACTATGAATGCCGCCACCTTGCATTAGTTCCTTTGTGGAGAGAAAACTGATGTGTAGTGCTGTGAAGAAACTTGCTTCTGTAGCAAGGCCAGGGCTAAAGTCCAAGCCTTAATAGCCTGATGATGTTGCCCGGTCCTCAGAATGCTTCTTCCCTTTAGGGTTGTACTCAAGAATCCTAATTCTGTTTGGCTCTGCTCCTATATGGCTATTTTTTATTACGGAGGCCCATTAATTTAACTGGGAAGGACATAATAACTGTGGAAAATGTTTTCAACAAATTTGAAGTTACCGTACAAAATTATTTTCTCTATGTCCAAATTGCTGTATCTACAGATCAGCTACAGGTTAAGTGCAGAGACATGGTGATCATGGCTTAAATAAGCAAAATACACTTAATTTTAAAGCTGTGAAGACTTAATATTATAAAAAGATGTTATTCAATTTGTTATGGTTTAGATATGAAGTGTCCTCAAAAAGCTCACATGTGAGATAATTCAAGAAGGCTCAGAGGTGAAATGATCAGAGTATGAAAGCTTAAACTAATCAGCGGTAACTCTAGGCAAGTACAGTTACTGGGTGTGACTGGATTAACAGGCCACTGAGGCCATGCCTTTGGGGTTCATGTTTGGTCCCTGGTCAGCAGATCTCTCTCTGCTTTCTGCCTGTCATGTTCTGAGCTGCTTTCCCCCACCACACCTGTCCACCATGAAGTTCTGCTTCACCTTGAAGCCCAGAGCTATGAAGTTGGCTATCTATGAACTGAACCCCTCAAACCATGAGCCAAAATAAACTTTTTCTCTTCTACATTGTTCTTGTTAGGTCTTTTGGTCAGTGCACTGCAAAAGCAGACTAAAACATAATTGTATGGCCAAATCTATTTTATAAATAGTTCTCATATCATGATATTTCCCCCCCCCCCCAATATCCAAATTATCAGATATCTGCAATGTACTTTTGTAGTCAGAGAAAATATATTGCTGACATAGAGTTTTACTTTTAACTGTGATTCTGTTCTCAAGAACTTTTATGAATGTAAATCTTTTTATCTTTTTAAAATTTTATTTATTTGTTTGTTTGTTTTATTTTTATGTGGTGCTAAGGATTGAACCCAGTACCCCACACATGCTAGGCAGTGTTCTACTCCTGAACTGCAGCCCCAACCTTTTTTTTTTTTTATCTTGGTAGTGCTTTCACATCATTTATTTGGATATTGTACGTACATCATTGTGTGAGTTTTGATTTGTTTTTCAAACAAATTAAGGCAAAGTTAACAATGAAGCATTCAGGGTAATGCAAATTGGAGAAGAATTAAAGCTTTGCCTTTAATATATCAACTATTGTGATTTAATAATTTTGAAAAGTGGCTATTGGCAATTTATGCTGCACAGGATGCCAACAGTGAACATGATCTTTACTTGGTGGGTAGGACCAGCATTMTTCCTGATCCAGTTCTGCCTCCAGTTGAAGATGGTTTTTCTTGTTAAGTTGAAACTCTAGTCCCAGCCAGAGCACTCTGATATTTATTTCTTTGAACAAGGTCAGAATAGTCTGATCTTTCTATGTTTGATTTTTTTTTTTTTGGTAGAGATGGAACATGAACATGATTTTATTGTTAAATTTACTTTAGACTCAAATAACTTCTAAATTGCTATTTTATCTTCAACAGGAGCTTAACTTTTTTTCTGTCTTCATCATCAATTTTTTAATGTATTAGTAAAAATTATTTTGGTCCCAATAACAATTTTAACCATAAGATTTCATTATGAACTCAAATCCCCCCTGCTTCTATGATTTTGGGTACATCACTCTCGATTTCAAATGCTGCATTTGTTAAAAAAAAAAAAAAAAGCAGACCTAAATCTACTTCAAACTTAGTGAGCAAAGGAGTCAATAGCGACTCAACAGACCTGGGATAAAACCCACTTTAGCCATGGATCAGTTAGGTGCATTTGCTCTCTGGCTCCATTTTCCTAGTAATTGAAGTGGAGGTTTGGACTGGATTGCTTAAGTCTCATCCTCTTGAAAATTCAATGAGGCCAAATCATAAAGACTGGGATGTCTTTTCACAATGCTGCACATGAAAAGATCTTCACCACCTCCATGCCCRGATGTCTTATAATAATATTGAGTTAACGTGCTAAGCTCTTGGGGTGATGACCTTCATGGACTAATTATAATAATTTATAGTAATTATTTTTTTGTGCATGAAGAATTTGTTCATGTGCTGGAGGTCTACACACTAAGAGCAGAAAGAAGGGCTGAATCATTCTCCCTCTTCCTATTTAATCAGATATATGCTCAGATAAAGAGAATTATGGAGTAAGGGTTAGTCTCTGCTTAGGTACTGAAGCTTGGACAGAAGCATTTTCTTCTTATTTCTTCATAAAATGTACTTACCTTGATTTCCTCTTCAGGGCCATTTTATCCATCCATCCATCCATCATCCATGGATTTATGCATGTATGCACACATCCATCTAAAACATTCAATATTGGTTGACCATCCACTATCTGCCAGTCACTGTGACAGGGGTTGGGTGTAATATTGGCACAAAAATCACCTGCCCCATTCTCAAGTTAGCTGTTATTATCTTTATATACAGGTCATAGATAAACTAAATGATATCTTAAACCCATACAGTAAACTGCAATGAGGAATCTGTTTCATGAGTTAGTTCAGGGCTATTTGAAAATATTTTTTATGCATTTGCATTCAAATTAAATGAAATGTGAATATGTTACAGTAATTATTGCTATAGACCAGAGAGAGAGACAGCTATTTTTTTTTACAGATAATTAATGATTTAGTATAATCAGCTCTGTGTTTCTAATTTAGGGTAGAGAAGTTGGACAACAACAATAACAACATACCCTTGGTTCCACCTGGACTTGGTTGGGGTGGATGTGGTGGGTGTTCACTAAGAGTGACCAATGAGAAGAGACTTGTGGTGTCATTAAAGGAGAACCAGGGAGCAGAAACCCCCTACGCCAGTTTCAGCTACATTAATCCTCAAAGCCCAAGGCTGTGCTCCCATAGTTTCTATGGGGAATGCTTCTCTCTCTTGCCTTTTCTTTTGGAAGTGTTATATAGCCTTATGTAAATATTGGGTTTAAATAATCCCAGGCTGGGAGAGTCACTTTATTTTTTACTATTAATTTTTTAATTTATAGCATTCTTTTTATTGCTCATTTTCATCATTGAAAATTATAATGGTGGACATCAAATATTAAAGTTATAATTCTAGATGAGTAGTAAGTTCTTAATGAAAGGTCATTATTTAGACACAGTGTAATTATGTGTTCACATATTGGCCTCCCTACACACGTCTGCTTCTCAGGACATGGACAATGTATTATTCATGATTTTGTTCCCAGGGTCCTCAAACAGGTGCAATTTTGCACTGTCCACCTCCTACCCAAGGGGACAGTTGGTGGTGTCTGCAGATATTCTGGTTGTTGTAGTTGAGGGGCATTCAGGTGACACTGCCCAAAGGCCTACAGTGCACAGGAGAGCCACCCACACAAATAAACACTGATCCCTAAATRTTATTAATGCAGAGGCTGAGAAACACTGTCTGGAAAAATATTGTATACTAACAGGTGCATAAAAAATTTCTGAGTGAATTACTCATGGGGACATGGATGAATAGATGGATTGATGCATTGGGTAGACAGCTAGCCTCACAGAAGGTTGAACTTGTAGCAATTATGAACATTTAATTTAATTTGAAATAACATTAGAACTACCTCATGAAAGAGATTAAGCATTTCTAGCTTATTATGTGGCTTTGGATAGTCACAATTTCTCTGGTCTCATATTTGCAGATTGAAATGTAATAAATGATAACAGTTAACATTTACTCTGTTTGACCCACATGGAAGTTATCCTGTGTAGTGTTTTGCATGCTTCATTGTCCTAAACTTCACAGTTACTATTACCAGTTCACAAATGAGGAAACTGAGTCTCCAAGAGTTTATTTGCCTAAGGGTATTAGGTCATTGAAGGAGCCAAGATTTGAGACTAAGTCCTTCTGGCTCCAGTGCTTGATGGTTTAGCCGCTACATGGTTAGTCGGAGACAGAGTATACCAAAAGGGTCACTAACACGAAACTGCAATCCTGTTGTTACTGCAGGATTTCAAGGACACTCATAATCTCGGCTCAGTGATAACTTAGATTCATGCGTTTCCTATGGCAGCCTTTGAAAAATTCTACTTGAGCTTGACATTCAAAGTTCTTTATTTGATGTTGAACCTTTACTAAAGTTTTTTGTCTAATACTGAACCACTCTCATAGGTTTGACAATATTGATTTGCCAAGTATTTTTTTGCATGGGAAATTCAGAAATGAATTATTAGCCAATAACTGGAATATACATTATGGATCTATTTCATAGAACTCCAGTAAATCAGATGCAATGATTAGATAGAGGCATATATCTTAAATCCATTGACTTTTTCCTTCCTCTTTTTGGTCCTGACTTCTACACTCAGAAACTTGTTTTCAAAGATTGATTCTGAATCCTTTGGAGTTAACAGAGTCTCTCTAGAATTTCAATTTGGTTGACTTGGAAGGACTGAAGAGTCTGGCAAGTTTCCCGGACCAACTTATATGATGGGGGGAAAAAAGTGAAAATTACCGAAGGACTATGGAACAATTGTGTTGCTGCAAAGTGCTACAAGAAATCTATGCTTTAACGGCTACAGGACAGGTGGGAAAGCGATGAGCTAGGAAAGGCTACTGCCCTTTTGGTATCTCCATCAGTGCTCAGCAAGATGGCACCTTTGTGTCTGGCTCTGATTTCTGCCTCTGCTTAGTTTGTGCATCTCCCCTCCTGTCCATCTGTCTGTCTATCCATCCATGACCTGTGCATCCAGACATCATCTGGAGCTGGAACAGCCAGGTGGTTCCAGGTATCAGATGTCTGAGTCCATCCCACGAGCAGTGCCTGTCCATCTCCACTGTTCCACTCAGCCATGGTGTGGCTCAGTTTCCTCACATGCAYGATGTGATAACGTCTACCTGAAACAGTCGTCATTACCACAAAGCAAGGATGCAGGTGAAGAGTTGAGGGCAGCACCTGAAGCATGATAAGAGCTCAGTGCATTGTTAGGACTAATGAAGTTGAAGTAGAGAGGGGGACTTTAGGGGCAATTCCCCTGAGACGAAGCAACAGACAAGGTGTGTGGGGGGGTAAAGTGGGTGAGGGGAGTGGAGTGTGTGACGTAGCTTCACGGTCGTTACCTGCGGTGCCCTTTTCACCTTTCTCTCCTTTCCGGCCGTCTCTACCATCTCTTCCTGGAAGGCCGATGCGACCGTGGGGCCCCGGGGATCCGTTGGCTCCAGGGGGACCTGGTGGCCCAGGTAAGCCAGGGATGCTGCAGATGTATCTTGGGGAGTAGCTGTCTCCTTTGACCTGATTGCCCCGAGGTTGTCCACTTGCACAGATGGCAAAACTTGTGACATAGAGCAAGACAAACATCTTTGGCTCTGGAAGAGAAACACACACATCAGTGTCCCCTTCCAGGAGGGGGTTTGGTGTGGCTGACCGTGCTGGAGCAGGGGAACTGGCACTGACAGCTCTCCCCTTTTCACACGTGTGTTCCCTCATAATTCCATTGAAAATGACATTATTGATGTGGAGTCTCAGTGTCCCACACAGGGATGGTGTAGAGAAAGGCTGGGTTAAAAGGTTTTCCCAAAAGACATCACTGCATTGCATTTATTCTACAGAGTCAGTGATAGACTTTGAAAAATGATGCTTTCATTTTGCAAAAGAAAAGCATTTTTAAAAAATGGAAAATTAGAGATGCAAATGAATAAGATAAATATTGGCACTATTCTCATCACTCAGAGATAATTACCCTTTACTCTCCAATATACACATGCTTCCAGTATTTTTTGTCTGTGCCATGGAGAAAAGCAATAGGGTATCATTCCTATAATTCTTCAACCTTCTTTACTTTACATATGAACTTCTTCTTATGTCAAAAGTTATTCACAGCATTAGCCAGGTGCAGTGGCACATGCCTGCAATCCCAAGGCTTAGGAGGCAGAGGCAGGTGGATCACAAGGTTAAAGCCAGCCTCAGCAAAAGTGAGGTACTAAGCAACCCAGTGAGACCCTGTCTCTAAATACAATACAGAATAGGTCTGGGATATGGCTCAGTGGTCAAGTGCCCTGAGTTCAATTCTTGGTACTTCCCCAGCCCCCCATAAAAAGTTACTCACAACATTAAAAAATATTGCTTTTGTCTCTACTATTTTATATATATGTACAGATGTACATATATACCCCCACATATATACACATAGGCATGTATACATGTATACACACACACACACACACACACACACACACACACACACACACATGTATGCAATTCCCCATTATAGACATTTGTTTCCAGGGTTCTGCTAATATAAACAGCACATCAGACATGTTCTAACTAATCTTTGCATATATCCATGATAATTTTTTTTTGTAAAAGTTAAAGCAGGAGCAAGGAAGAGGCATTTGCAGGAAAACCATGTTTTTCACTTGATAATCATGCCTAATGCCAATTAGTGTTAATTGGAGTACTGTGCATGTCCTGAGGGGAGTCTCAAACTTTAATTTAGAATCTGCAGGATATAATGTCTTGGTGTCCTATTAAGCCGTTAGCACTGCAGGTCAATTAAAGAGCTATGTGAAATTTGACCACGCATGCGCCACATGCTCTGAGTGAAGTGGGTGCAGGTCTCTTCAGCTCTAGTCTGATAGGACATGGGTTTCCCTCTACAAGGCCTGAGAATGGAGCACTTATTAGTATGGACTCTGGCACACAGGCTGAGGGTTGGGGAGGGGTGGTGCAGGCTATGGAGACCTGAAGTTTTAGGCCAAATGATCCTCAGGATAAGCAGTTTCTTGAGAGGTGGTTCTGGTTTTGTGTAAATGGGGAGTATGTGGATGGTTGAACATGATTTTTTTTGTACTTCTGATTATACAAAAGAATGGGTTTCCTAGTGGCATACTTGTACAGGCAGATAACATGTACTATGATCCTATCCATCCCCACACTGATGGGGGYTTTTCTATTTTCCCTTCACCCTCCTCCTGATCCCCTTCCTGTTCTCTGATGGTCTCTCCGGATTTGGGTTTTAGCAGGAAATCTGTATAGTGCTTGACCTGGACTATATTCTCCCAAAGGAAATAATCATGAAACCTGGAATAAGCAATTACATAGTTTCTTTTTTCTTTTTTTGTACCAGATGTTGAAYCCAGGGATGCTTAACCACTGAGCCATATCCTTAGCCCTTTTTATTTTTTAAGACAGGGTCTCCCTAAGTTGCTTAGGGCCTTGCAAAGTTGCTGAGGCTGGCTTTGAATTTGTGATCCTCCTGCCTCAGCCTCCCAAGCTGCTGGAATTACAGGTGTGTGCCACCATGCCCAGCTTGTTATTTTTAGACAGCCACCTCAGAGAATTTAACCATATACACCATACCACTTTTTTGGTACTTGGGGGTAATTGCAACATCCAAAGGCTAGACTCAGAAATTTGCCAGAGCATAGGAATGACAAACTGAGGAAAACATAGTATGCTCCTGAGATTTTGAAATAAGACTGATTCCTAGAAATCTTAATACTGAAAAGCCAAAGTCACTTATCCAAATAGCGACTCCATATTCTTGAACAAATCTCAGTGTTATCAGCCTTCTTTCTTCCCTCCCAAATTAGAGAGAATGTCTTTGCCATGTTCTGTCTGCTAGGCTTGACATACCACACTGTCTTAATCTGATTTTTTGCTACTATAATGAAATACCCAAGATTGGGTACTTACAAAGAAAAGAGGTTTATTTAACCATAGTTATGGAGGCTGGATGTCCAAATTGCATAGTGCCGGTTCTGGCGAGGACCCTCTCAGCTGCATCACTTCAAGAAAAGATGGTATCGTGGTGGGAGTGCAAGTGAAAGATCAGTTGGCAAGACAGGAAGCCAGAGTAACAGGGAGTGGCCTGCCTTGTGACTGTGCACTGAGCCCCTCCCCTTAAAAGTCCCACCACCATTCAGGACATAGCTTCCAACACATGAACCCTGGAGGCACACACCTAAACCATATCCACATCACGGCAAGCGCAAACCCAAATGATCTATCCTATGGCTCAAAAGGTTTTAAGGTTGTTTCTGACAGCCCCAGGGTTCTGATAAAGACACCAGCACTTCCAAGCAAGCTGCAGATGAAGGAAAATTGTGAGAACATTCTAGGCACAATCCTTGCTACAGTCAAAACTAGACACATCGATTATGTGGCCTGTTCCTCTCTCTTGTAAACAACTGATAATGGGGAGGCTCTGAGAAGGAATGTGAAGGTGGAGAACTTCTGAGGCCTCATGGAACAGAAGGTATAGGCTATAGGCCAGAAAGTGGTTTGAAGAAAGACTGGGAATGATCTGGAGGAAGGTGCCCTGGGCAGTGATAGAGAATATAACAAGGGCAACAGTTGTGGGGGTGGGTGTCTGGAAGAAAATCTCAGTAACATCTAGTTGATGATGGACAAAGGAAGCAGAAACCTAAAAGATATGCTTACAGGAAAGAATATTGAACATCACCAAGAGCCAGGCAACAGGTGCTCAAAGAGGGATAAATAAGAGCAATTGAAATGAACCTTGGACCAATGGGTTGCTTTTCTTTGAGAAATGCCCTGGTAAACTGCCGGCACCAGTCTAAAAGCACGTCCCCATTAGGACTTTCTGAAAGGCTCTCCAGATGATTATCCACTAACAATCCTTATCTGTCGCAGAGGCACAATGTGTCGTGGGGCCTGAMGGGCAACGATGGCCTGATGACGAGTGTCAGTCCATTCTTGGGACTCCGTTCACGCAGAAGGAAAAGGGGTGCGGGTCATGATGAAAGCCTCAGTGGCCTCTCCCGCGATGGCTGTCCACTTCACTTAGGAGCCAACWGCTTCGTGTCCCTGGTAGCGTGGTGGGTGAGGCCCCCTAACGCCCCTGTTTCTACTCTGCTTACTCTCCAGTTCCAGTCACAGTGGATAACCTGGGGTTCCCAAGGACACCGGTGCCTCTGCCTCAGGCCTTCACATGTTTCTTCCCTCTGTCTAAACCCCTCTTCACCAAGATGTCCATACAYGGCTCCCTCCCTCCTCTCCTTCTGCAAGTCTTGCTCAAATGCCACCTTTTCATGGAGCCCAACGGTTTGCACCTTATTCACGATACAATCTGCCCCCCACCCCAGCCTCCCTCTTTCTGCTTTATTTTTCTGTCTCCATTGTGCTCACCATCGYGGACTCCTGTCTTTATTTTACACTGCACATTCTGTCTGGAGGGAATGGAAGCTCCCCGAGGGCAGAGCTCTCTGTCTTAGTCATTAATATGTCTACCCGCCTAGAACAGTGCGTAGTACAATAAACCCCAGCCGGAGGAAGTGGAGACTTTTTGYGGGGATGGTGTGAGTTTTGTTGAATAAAAAGTAGTGAGGAATTACGGAGTATGAAATATTATAAGAGAAAGAGAGAAAAGAAGATTTCAAGAAAGCTTTCTGGGGTCTATGTGTCCCTTTCATAGATTTGGGGAATAAAGGACTTGAGTTGTTTTGCCTTTAAGTCTATGTTGCTTAAAAATATACAAAAAGCTCTTTTTTTGCATTTGTAATATAGGCACACTAAAATTCAAAAGAAAAAGGGTATGAAATGACAAGTAAATCTCTTCTTATTTTTCTGTCTTCTCAACAGTTTCCTCCCTGAAGGTGGTGACTATTGTCAGTTTCTTGTGTCTTCTCCTTCCCCGTGTTGGTGTCCTCTGTACCATGGTCTGCACTTGGCCTTTTTGCTGAGCTTCTTTATAGGTATGCAGAATCATCCCTTGGTGTGCATGGGGGATTGAGTCCATACTGTCCAGCTCCCATGTATACCACAGTACAAGATGTTCAAGTCTCTGATATAAAATGTTGGCATATTTACCTATGACCTATGCACATCCTCCTGTGTACATAAGTGGTCTCTGGATTACCTATAATACTTAACACAATGTAAATGTTATGTAAGTAGTTGTTACTGTATTGCCTAGAGAACAATAAGAAAAAAGTCTGTACAGGTTCAGTACACGGTTGTCTAAAATATTTCTGATCTGTGATTAATTGAATCCATAGATGTGGAAATTGTGGATGTGCAAGGCTGACTGCGTGTCTCTGTACTGGGGTAGACAGAGCTACCTTAGACCCTGTTATTTCGGTGTCCATAGACTATCCAAAATATGTTATATTTAAGTAGTTGATGGACAGGTAGAATATTTGCATTCTTCTGTTATTCTAAACAACAGTGCACTGAATATTTATATTTATCTATCTGTACATGGTTCGTGACACACAGCAAAAAATTTTTCCCAGTTTGTCTTTTCACTTTTTTCATGTAATTAAAAAAACCCATTTTTATTGTAAAAACATTTTTGAAGTCAAATTTATTGTGTTTAGAAAGCTTCCCCCACTCTAAGGTACTG